TCAGATCTAGCAGCCATGTAGCTTGTGTAGGGAAAAATGGATCCATGCTGGCAAGCAATAGAGGAATTTGAAGGCGATGGCCCATTCGTGATGGCTACCTAGGGACTCAAATAATAATTGGAAGGCTCTATGGAACCAACGGAGTCCACTAGGGTATGTTTGGTTCATCCGATAGCTTTGAGTGGCTATGAGTATCACCTATCACATGGTTAGAGATAGCCATTTTTTCTGGGATGTCAAATGGTTAGAGATAACAGTATATCCGTTTGGTTCGAGGGACAAGTAGTGGATAGGTTGTTGCGATAACCTCTTTTTTCGGGTGATGAGATTACCCTTTATCCGAGCAATTTGAGCAAAAAATATGCCTGTGAGTATTCATGTAATTAAACTAACCTTCAACATCATATACATATTCTGTAAAATCAATTTTTTTTCTTTCAAAACCACCCATTTGACAATATTATCTACAACAATCTAGAAATCATTTAAACTAGAAAAAAAAACTGCTATGGCCCTGAAGCATTTTCACTGAAGAATTATAATCAAAGACGTGCACAACGCATCACCCCTATAAATTTTGCTGATACTATCTTGCGTATTCAGTGCAGTATATTAATGAGTGCTATCTCTTGTCACAATAGATAATTATTTGGTACATGACTACCTCATACAAATTAAGATCCCAAATGATAAGTGTCACATGTGTGGCACGAATCTTCATTACCATCCATTTTGTCGCATCAAACAGATGACATCAGCGGAACTTTTTTGATGTTTGGATTTAAAAATTATTTTATCGCTTAAGTAAAACATCTAATTAAAAATCCGCTTTCATCGTTAAACCGGTCTCGAAGAGAACTTCAAAACTATATCCCATATTGATATGTTTCGATGACCTTTTTTTGGGCCAAAAGCTGCCATGATGTTACAATGAAGTTACCTAGTGTTTACAATAAAGTTGCTATGATATGTTTCATTTATTTTTTTTCTTCTAGATTTAAAGCTACCATTGCATTTCAACTACTTTTCACGGCAAATTTTATTAATTGACTATGGCAATTTTTAGTAATTAACCACGCCAAATTTAATTCATGGATCATGGCAAATTTAGTTTATAGATCACGGCAATTTTAGTATTTTGACCATGGCAATTCTAGTATTTTGAGCATGGAATTTTTTCGTATGAATCCTGGCAAATTGTAGTGCATGTATCATGGAAAATTTAAGTAATTCACCATGTCAATTTTAGTTTCTGATTCATGGCAAATTTGAGTCACTGACTATGCATTTTTAAAGTAATTGACGACGAATTTATTTTTAATTATCAACCATGTCAAAATTATTTCATGGATCATGGCAAATTTTAGTAATTCTTCATGGCAAGTTTAGTTTATTAATTATCCTTTTTATAACATGTCAAAATTCACTTTTAGAAGAAAAAGTTTTTGAAACATATCATGGCATTTTTAGTGTAAACACCATGACAATTTATGCGCTGTAGACATGGCAACTTTTTACCACCAAAAAATATCGTCAAAACATATCGATATGGGATCTACTTTCGATGACGTTGTCACGGCGGATTTAATGGTGAAAACAGATTTTTAATCAGATTTTCTATTTAAGAGATAAAACATTTTAAAGTTTGAAAAACCTAAAAGATTCTTGCTGCTATCATCTGTTTTTGTCCTTGTTTGCGTGCATGTGTGAAAGAAATAAAAAAACCGACGTCTCACAATGGGTGGCTAGAAGGGCGTTTAGCTTGACCTCCTTCAGCCCTCACACGTGTGGGCGAAATTGCTTCATGCTACACGTGTGACATTTATCAGGGTCCATTAAGATTTGTTCGTTGAAGGCGTAGTAGAGCTTGAGGTCGTGCCTGAAACATATAAGGCACAAAGAGACATATCAAGACCGGACAAAATCGGCGCAATCAGGCCACCGTCGGCGCAATCAGGTCTGCA